TCCATCAAGGGCAGAATCTAAACAATCTTGATTCCTGTCCAGGCAGCAACGCCCTGGCTACAGGCTGGAATTTGTGAATAGCAGGAAACGGAGATACGCTTTATTTGTGCTCGGGATCTGCAGGCAACACAGGACGAAAAGGTCCTGGAGCCTCGGGGCTCACATTTTGTGCATTTCCAAAAGGGGAGGGTTGCAAGAGAATGAGTGGTGAGGTCAAGACTTCACTGAGTTTAGCTTGGCAAGATTTTCTGTTTCACAAGAAGTTAAATGAGCAAACAAGCCGTGTCCCCCTCAAAAAAACAAAACAAAACACAAAAACCTTCCCATTCCTGTCTCCTTGGTGGAACAGCTGGAACATTTTTAGATTGTTGCAAAGAGTATTTTTATATCATTGATAAGCCTGATATAAAACCCTAGGGTCTCTGCAATCATCTTATTGGGCCTCAACTCCTGGAGATAGTAAAGCACGGGTTGGAACAACACCAAGAAAGGCAGCGCAGAAGAGGATTCAGCACCACAGCAAGGCAGACTCTGCACCCTTTAAAGCCAGATCCTGACAATAACAAAACCTTGGAAATAATACATACTGGAGCTACAGCTCCTGGATTCTCCTACCCTTCCTGGCTAAGGATTCTGGGACTTGTAGTCCAAACAAAGTACCTTAAACAAATTGCCTCTGACAGTAAACCAAACTGAAAATCCATCGCTTAAGGGGGACAGAAGAGGGAGGGAAAATAATCAGCTCCCCTGGCCCCCCAGTACTACAGCTGGAATTGTGAGCAGGCTCAGAACAGTCCCCATGTCATGACTAGGATCTTCAAGTGCTCCCTCTTGCTCTGTATCTTGAGAAAGAGTATACTGGGTAGAGTGGGGTAAGGCACGATGGGGTTTTGGATTAGAGATGGGAAATAATTCAAGTAACACTGTTGCCTAAAATATGTGCCCATTTTAGATAACAAAGGTATAACAGTATTATATTTCCTAAAGGAAAGTGGCAATTGGCAACGGCAGGAGCCATTTTCTGCCCTTGAGTAACATATATTTAAAATGCCATCTTGAGATATTTTAGAGGCCATTTGATAGGATTTTTTCCTCGAGGTTTTGGTGTGTTGGGGTTTTTTTTAAACAAGCCATGGTGTTTGAAGTGTGAGGGACTCCCACCATCACCTTCCAAATGCAATAGGGGTGGGGGAATCCAGGGTTATCCTGGCCAAAGGATTCAAGGAGTGCAAGAAACTGATTTTCCTGACCTTTGTCGTCATCTTGACCTGTGGAAGGCATGGAATCCTTTTCACTGTGATTGTGTTTCACTACGAAACGCCTCGATTGTGCTGATTAAAAAGAAAAACAGCGATATGAATGGATAAGATTATTTTCAACCAGAACTAGGAAGTTGCTGTTTATATGCCATCAAGTTGTCTCCAACCTATGACAACCCAATGAATGAGCAATTCTCCAAAATGCCCTGTCCTCAATTGCCCTGTTCAGCTCTTGTAAACTCAAGCCTGAGGCTTCCTTTACAGAAGAGGTTCCCTACCTCCTTTGAAGTCATGACGATCCCCTTTTGTAATAGCCAAATAGCCTGTGACCACCTGGGTTTGTATAAAAAGGAACTGTTTCCCCTGCATGGCGGCACTGAGGCTGATGCTGCTCACCCTCCCACTGCTCCTGCCACTGAATCAATGGCTGCCTCATCAAAACTGGGGATGGAACAGGCTATGGGAGGTTAAAGGTCGGGAGCAGAGAAGGCAAAGGACTTCAAAGATGGACCAGGGGGCAGAAGGAAATTCTAGTACCCACGGAGGGGGCAAAACCTTCGTGCAGAAGGGATCCCCCTCAGAAACAAGCACAAGGCTTTCCTTGCACCCACTGTAGATCTCCCCCTTCTTTAGGTTATCCAGAATTGATGTGTCATATTGTAAAAAAAATAGTCCCCGTCATCTTTTCTCATAAGTTAGAGGCTTCTTTCTCTCCCAAAAACAGGTGCACAGCTTGGGGGTGCTCCTGGATTCATTCCTAGCCTGGATGCTCTGGTCTCAGCAGTGGCCAGGAGCGCCTTTGCACAGTTAAAACTAGTGCACCGGCTATGTCCACTTTGTTGAGAGATCTTATCTGGACATTATGATACATGCCCTAGTTACTTCCTGGCTGGATTACTGTAGTACACTCTATGTGGGGCTGCCAATGGAATGTGTCAGGAAACTTCAGCGGGTCCAAAATGCAGCAGCCAGATTGCTGACTGGGGCTGGTTACAGGTATCACATACCTCCTCTATTACAGTAGCTCCACTGGTTGCCAATCAGCTTCTGGGCACAACACAAAATGCTGATTTTAACCTATAAAGCCCTAAATGGCCTGGGTCCAAGCCATCTCAAGGACTGTATCTCCCATTATGAGCCCGCTTGGGTATTAAGATAACAGGAGAGGCTGTTCTCTCAGTCCCGTCACCTTCACAGGCTCATCTCATGGTGCCTTCTCTGTTGCTGCTCTCAGACTTTGGAACTGCCTCCCACAGGAGGTCAGACTGGCCCCATCTTTGCTGTCCTTCCACAAGCAGGCGAAGACCTTTCTTTTCACACAAGCCTTCCCTCAGTAACTAGCTACCTATGTGTGATTTGTAGGTGGATTGTTATGCATTACTGCGATTTTCAGTACTTTTTGTGTTTTCCACTCTTGGAGTGGTATTTGCTCATATATATTTGTACGTATATTTATTGTTATTAGCTTTAATATTGCCTTCTAATGATATATGCTGCCTCTTTATACTGATTGTTTTCAACTTTAAATATTGTATTTCAATATTGTAAACCACCTTGGTCCTTTTCAAGGAGAAATGTGAGGTAAAAACATTTTAAATGAATAACTAAATACATAGACATACACATGAACTTTAATATCCCGCTCTGAAGATGAAGGAATAAATTATTTGACAAGGGCAACAACACATAACCAACACACACACACAAGAAAACATTTTGCAACCTCCCCTGGGGGGAACCCACAGGTTGGGAAATACTGCTTTAGAGAGTCATTCTATCTCATATTTGGTTTTCCTCTTTTTCTACTGCCTTCAACCTTTCCCAACATTATTGTCTTTTTCCAGAGAATCTTGCCTTTTCATGATGTGCCCAAAGTCAGACAGCTTCAGTTTTAACATTTTCATCCCGGAAGTAACTTGTTTTTAATGAGTTACTTTTGGAGTGAGTTATGTTCAGCTGTCATGAGCTAGAATTTAAGCCACTTCTTTCCCTCTGAGGGTCATGACTGTAATATAGAACAGGAACTGAGTGCCCACTTGTTACTAGTTACCGATGGGAGGAGGGCTGGCAGGAGAACAGTCACACAGGTGGTGTATTTTGCACAGCTAAACCCCTATCATCACCTTTCTTTTTGGAGGGGGGATCTTGTAGACCTAAATATGGAAGGAAATGAAATCAATAGATTTCCCCTTCTGTTTGAGAAAGGGCAGGGAAGGCATTTTCTGCTCTGGCTGATGTTGCAGAAAGGGGATGGAGATGGCTCTGAGGGCCAGTGGAAACATCGTTGTTTAGTTCACAGCTTTTATATCCTTCCTTTCCCTCAGTGCAGTGATGCTGGCCTGTGTGGCTCTCCTCATCCCCACTATATCATCATAATGACCCTGTGAGGTAGGCCGGACTAAGAGAATAGAGTCCGCCCAATATCACACATGAGTTTCATGGGCATGGGGTTGGCAGAATGGTCTCCTGAGCCCTCGTCTATTTGTTGCTGTCCACTGGCGTATGTTTGTGGGAGCTACGTGTACACTTACATGCGCAGGAAATCTTCCTGTTAGGCTGCGGTGTGGATGTGCTGTTAGGCTGTCCTGCCGACGTTGCCTGTGAGGCCGTGGCAGCACTAAATATTATACTGACCTTGTTGCCATCTTCACAGATGCCGGCATCTTCTACCAGAAAAGGTTTCCAAAACGTTCCCTCTTTTCTACCCTGCTCTTGCGAGGGCACTGAATCTTTGTCACACTCTGGTTGTATTCCTAAAACATTCCCTGTCCTGTGGTTGTGGGGAGGTAGCAGAACTATTGGAAGATTAAAACGAAGATGGTTATGACTTTTGGCTGAGAGCTTCATGCCAAGGGCCAGCTTAAGAAAAGTTACTTTGGGGGGGTTACAGCTGCAAGTGTACCCCAGCCAAGGTGACTGTTCTTACTTGGGAAAGTACCTTTTCTAAGCTGTGGTCCCATGATGCAGAGCTTAAGAAAAGCTACTTTGGGGGGGGGTTACAGCTGCCAGTGTACCCCAGCCAAGGTGACTATTCTTACTTGGGTAAGTACCTTTTCTAAGCTGTGGTCCCATGATCATTTCCATATTGTTCATTTGGTGAGATATTCCTGGATGACCCAGGCAGCTGAGGGTGTGATCAGGTGGCTGGAACGGTACACGTCCCATCACACTGGAAAAGGGTTACTTAGCAGGGAGCGATCTCCCTTAAAGCAAACCCTTCCATCCGCTGGGAATCATTCCAGCCCCGCCCCCAAAAGAAGTGGCTGGACAGCTACTACAAAAAGGTCCAGCTTGAGCACAGATCAGGATTGGGCCAGAGTGCATTTTCCTGTGCATCCTCTAATCACCGGGAAGCTGACTGCACCAGATAACAACACAAGGGATCCAAAATGCAATTTGTTTCCCCAAGTGAATACACACTGAGTCTTTGCAAGTGTAATTGTATTTGTTTGTAGAAATCCTTATCCTAGACGTTCTGTGACAATTTCCTATCAGTGTTATTATCATTGTCATAATTAACATCATAATTATACTGTTGTTGTTGTTGTTGTTGTATCAACCACCCAATTTTACAGAGTCTTCTTTTATTTAAAAAAGCTGTGTGTAGATATGAGTGTCAAAATGTTGATACCATAGATCTTTAGTGAGACAAGTGGTATTTTAGGATAAATGGGGAAAATTCATATTAGGATTCTTACTAATAACTCATTCTGGGTTATTTGTTTTGTTTTTGTTCTCCAGGCAAAATGCTGCAAGACGCTTCTGTGGGCCTTTTGTTGGCAAGCGTGAGTCTCCTGACAAGCGTTGTCTCTGGTAAGAAATATTTGCAGCAGACAACAGACGGGGGTCTCCATAGAGCAGGGGTCAAGGGACATTGCTTCACCTAGAATGGGTGTTTGGGGCTGCTGTCCAACAGTGGGAAGGGAAGGCTTGGAGAACTAGAGGAGGTGCCGGGGGGCGGGGGGGCAGAATGTGTGGGCCCAAGAATACCGTGGGCGCAGTCAGAACAAAACAGTCCATGCCAGTGGTAATTCTTTCCAGTGTGGACATTTTCCTTGCTATGAATACAAAGCACAGTTAATTGTCTACATGTCTACCCAGGAGCAAGCATACAGTATATGACATAGGGATTGCCATGCGACTGCTTGGCTCTGTCACCCTATGTGGCCAGAACGTCTCCCTCAAGCGTCATTCATTTATTTATTAAATATCCTGCCTGCCTCCCAAAACAATGGGGAACATTATGTCCTCTGATTAAAACATATTCAAGCAAGCTACAGAGGGCAGGGCTGGCTGGCTGGCTGGCTCAGGGAGTTGGGTACCTGACTGTGGAGCCAGAGGTTGGGATTTGGGGAGTCTGGTTCCCCAGTGTGCCTCCCAGAAGAAGAGCCAGCCTGCATAACCTTGGGCAAGCTGAACAGTCCCAGAACACACACCCAGGAGAAGGGATTGGTAAACCAGTGCTGACTTTTCTGTACTTGGGAAATCCTGGAAAGTGCAGCTAGAAATTGGAATTTTCTTGATGGCATGTAACTACCCTGTTTCCCTGAAAATAAGACTTAATCTGAAAATAAGCCCTAGTATGGTTTTTCAGGATGCTCGTAATGTAAGCCTTTCCCCCCAAATAAGCCCCAGTTAAGTGAAACCCCGCCCTCCACCATTGTGCTGCAACCAGAAGATGACATGACTGTATTTGAATATATGTAGATGGTTGTACATGGGGGGAAAAACTCACCCTGAAAATCAGCCCTAATGCGTTTTTTGGAGCAAAAAATAATATAAGACCCTGTCTTATTTTCAGGAAAACATGGTATTATTCTAGAGAGGGCAGAGGGGAGATGCATTGGAAAAAGAAGGGGAATGGGATATAGCAAACTCACATAAGTCATTTCTGGAAAGGGGGTTGGGGAGAAGTGGGGGCCTCTATGAGGGAATTAAAAATTGACACCTTAATCCTAAGCAGTTGTGTAGCTGCTGATCAAATTTCTTTTATTAGCGATAGGGACAGCCCAACCATTAGGCAAAGCCAGTCATAAACAAAGTGAGACTATTTGCAAACTACAGGGGATGCAGCCTGAGAACAGCTCCCATGGTTCAAAGATGTTCCTGTACTGACAAGCATGTATCCTTCAGCACTTATGGAGTTCCCTCTTAACATCAGTTACTGGAATCCTGTTATACTGCTATGCAAAAGACATAACATTTAGCAGTAAATTGCCATACATTAAGAAATCTCCATAGGCACTATCTGTTGTATACTAAATCACATGACTCAGTGTGGAGCAAATAATACCTGCAGAGATTTTTTAACTTCCAACCATTTGCCACTAAACTCTATGTTGTTTGCATAATTGCGCAGTAGGATTTTGGCCATAGAATTTTCGAGCTATTCAGGGACCCCCCACATTCATAAAAATCCAATCCTAATGAAGCAGGAGGTCAGCTTTTCTATGATGGGTTGTCTAAGATGTACAATTTGGTCCTTGGGTGCCTGGCTACCAGGTTGAAAGCTCCTCCTAGCACAGCTGGCCCTAAGGTATTGTGCAGCTATTCTGTCTGTTGTTCTGATATTTTGTGGGTCAGAAAAAAAGAAGGAAAAACAGTGGGAAGACACAAAAGTGGAAGATGTTACTGTCATGGCTCACATAAAATCCTATGAATGAGGCAGGGCAGATGCCCCCCCAAAAAAGCCTTTTTTTCCAGAAGTATCCCTTTAGGTAGCGCTTTCACTATTTCTGCCTCTTAACACGTGCAAATTTCAGTGCTGCACAATGCATGGCTGTGCAATCGTTAGGTTGCAAAAAAGAGCAAAGTGTGCAGCCTCTGTGACATGCGCGGTCCTCCTTCATGTTCTTGCAGGTGAGTTGATGTGTGTTTGTGATGAGACAGCACCCTACTGTGAAGAAAACCTTACTTGTTCCGGGATGCTCTGTTTTGTAAGCAAGCATCAGCAGGATGGGGAAACTATCCTAAGGAAAGGATGCCTGGCAACTGAGTATGAGCTATGCAAAGGCTCCATCCAAGAAAACTATGGCATGAAGTGCTGCGGTTCCAATATGTGCAATTTTAATCTTTCCATCATGCTGAAAGGTAGGTTCACACACCTTCTCCTGCAGTGACTGTCATGGCTCTTTAGGCAGGCCTTCCCTCCTGTAAATACTTGATCTTCATTTTTCTATTTTAATTTCGCTCTATACTTTCTCCATCTTGAATGAATACTAATATTATTGATTTAAATTGTTATTTTAACTGTCTTTATGATATTTTATTGTAAGCCACCCAGAGTAGACGCAGTCAAGATGGGCGGGATATAAATGTAATGAATGAATGAATGAATGAATGAATTAATTAATTAATTAATTAATTAATTAATTAATTAATTACACAAGGAGGGAGGGAAGAAATGAAGTTTCTTCTGTTTTCTCTGGAACATCTCGACTTCCGAGTTCCAAGCAGGAAACCATGATAATTCTTCTGTTTCAAAGGGAGAAAGTCCTGTGTTAAGGAAAGCAAAATGGAAGATCCTTCTGTTTACTCAAAAGCAGTGGTTCCCAGTCTTGGATAATCTAGGTGTCCTTGGACTACCACTCCCAGAAACCCTCGCCAGCAGAGCTGGTGGTGAAGTCTTCTGGGAATTGCAGTCCAAAACATGGGTTACACAAAATTGAGAACCAGTGTTCTAAAGTAAAGAAGTGCAATATTGATTAGGATTCAGACTGGCATGCATGCTGACTTTTATCTAAAAATGTGCTAACCCCTTACCCTAGAGTTGTTTAACTGTTGGAATATCTCCATTAATGCCAGTTGAGTGGTGGTTCAGATTTTGAGGTTTGGGTTTTTTTAAAAAAAGAAGAAAAAAACCGGTATATGTGAGAATTTGTAGACAGAAAACAAATAGGAAGATTTAAACATTGTCCACCCATAAACACCCTGGATTGGGATTGTGCATGCTTAGAGTGAGGAAAACTGTTATCCCACCCAGCATGCAGCTACTGAAAAACAAGGCAAATTATATGCTGCACTTAGTAAGAAAGGGGATTGCAATTAAAATTGTCACATTCATACTGCCATTATTCAACTCAATGGTTTGATAGCACCGGGAAGACTGTGTACAGTTCTTCTGGTCATCCCACTTGAAAAGATATATTGTACAGTGGTACCTCGCAAGACGATTACCCCGCAAAACGACGAATCTGCATGACAACGAGGTTTTGCGATCACCATTGTGCTTCGCAAAACAGTGTTTCCTATGGGCGATTTTCGCTGGACGATGTTTTGGTCCATGCTTCACTAGATGGTGTTTTTTGGGGGGGGACCAATGCTTCGCAAGACGATGATTTTAACAGCTGATCGGCGGCTTCACAAAATGGCTTCCCTATGGGCGATTTTCGCACAACGACTATTTTCCCCATTGGAACGCATTAAATGGATTTCAGTGCATTCCAATGGAGAAACGCTTTTTGCAAGACGATGTTTTCGCTAAACAGCGATTTCAATGGAACAGATTAACATCGTCTTGCGGGGCACCACTGTGGAGCTGGGAAAGGTGCAGAAAAGGGGAACCAGAAAAAAACCAAGAGCTAGAGCACCTTCTCTATTTAAAAAATAATGGTTTAGAACTATTTAGCTTTGACAAAAGGTGAATAAGGGTGTATAAAACACCTATATAAACACACACACACACATAACTACACATTTTCTGGAGAAAATAAAACAAGAGAAATACTGGCCACTGTAGAAGCAGTGATGGTGTTGGATGATGACCTTTTATGGTCCAGAGATACAATAGGTATATTGTAGGTATATTCTGCTTTGGACATGAAGCTAATATGACTGGCCTTGTAGGACTCCTCAAGCATCCTGCAAGAAAGGCAACTGTAACCAAATTGGTTCATTTTTCTCCTGATCCAATCAGATAAAGAAGAGCCAGGCCTGCCCCTTAAGAATCTTCTCCTGATGATCCTGGTTCCGTTATTTGTTATTGTTCTCCTTGGTGTGTTGGTGGGACTCTTTTTATGGAAAAGCCGGAAGAGACAAATCCAGTTTGGTCACAATGAACTAGGGGATATGGACTTCATCCTGAAGGCATCCATGACTGGTGACAGTACCTTAGAAGTAAGTAGATGTCAAGAACAGCACCTCAGTCCTACTCCTGCCTCCATGATCCTTCCAGGCCACTCAAGCCTCCTTGCTTCCTTTATGTCCACCTTCCCAGCAGAAGAGGCTGCTGGCAGGATGGTTAGCAGCGCCCAAGTTAAGATGCCCTGGCTGAGTCTCAGACATGGCTATAGGCACTTGTACGGATTGCCTTTGCCTTACTCTGTCTTCCCTCAGGTGCTGTCAGGTTTGTCTTTCTCTGCTTGTCTTTCCTTAGCTTCTCCAGCAATCCATTTGTCTCAACCATGTATTGGTTTTGTCCTATGACAATAGAGCAACAGTACCTTCCTATGGCAACTTGTGGCTCTTCAGAGGTGATAAGACTGTCACTCCCGGTTCCCACTACCATTAGATGTGCTGGCTAGACTAGGAGTTGCAGCCCCCCTCCCTCCCCCCAAAAAATATCTGGAGGCCACAGACAAGATTGCTCCCTCTGGCCTATTATATGTCTCACCATGGGATGTCTTTAGTGCCTTTGTCCTTTTCCTCTAGGAAGGAACTTCTAAGATCCAAGTAAACCTGACTCTAAACCTGGCTCTGATATTGGAATTTGTAGATGGGGATTATCTAAGATGGGGGTGGCAGATAAGAAAGGGAGGCCTATATCACTGCTTGTTTCTAATTGCATCCAGGACTTGTTGGATGATGACTGCACCACCGGGAGTGGCTCTGGGCTGCCCTTCCTTGTCCAAAGAACTGTGGCTCGGCAGATCACCCTGGTTGAGTGTGTTGGTAAGAGAATGGCATGTCAATCAGCCCAAGTGGAGAATTGTTAGCTGGTAGAAAATGGGAACAGAATTCCCAGCTCTCTGATGAACTCAAGACTCCTCTTCTCTTAGCTCAGCATTGCCGAGAATTACAGGTGTATCAGCATCTGGGTTATAAAATGACAAGGCAGAGTTTTTGTGATGTGACCTGTTTCTGGACTGAATCACTCAGACTGCTTCTATGTGGAGGAATGTTTGTAAACACATTGAGAAAAATTTGATTCCTCTCCAGCAAGGTCCAGGTCATCAACAGAGGCATCATGTAAGCTTGCTAATCATGTTGCTCAGGTCTAAATCTAAGGCACTGCAACAGAGGTAACTTCTTATATCAATTATGTAGAATGTATGGCCCTTCAGATGTTGATGGATTCTGTGTATTCTGTGCTGCCAAGTCAGTTTGAACTAATGATGACTTTGACGGGGTTTTCGATGTATGTAAGATGTTCAAGGAATGGGGTTTAACCAATACAATCCCCGACTGAATTTCCATGGCTAGGCAGAGATAGGAACCACAGTCTCCTGAATCATATTCTGAAACTCTGTTCATTCCATCACAGGTTTTCATGGGACTGCCTCCCCCATGGACCCTCACTGTTAGCTGTGTTGACTAGGACTGATGGGACGTAGTCCAATAACACATCAGCAGGAGAATATGTTTCCTGCCCTTAATGTAGACATGGAGTCCAGACAGAAAGTGGCACAGAGATCAAGTCCAAACACAGATCTGTTACATATGTATTATAGACAATAAAAATGCTTAGAGAACATACAGCTTTCGCATCTAAAGAACACTCACTGCAGATTCTTCATATATTTTGTGCAGTTTGTATGATAAATATACTTACAGCTCAGGGTCAGGTCATACATAGAGACAAATGCTTGTTTCTTCTGTATACAATGTTATCCCTAAGGCCCTATAATTACAAAACAGAGTCAAGCTAATTTATTGAATGTGGTTTGAGGTGAACTTCTGTTAGTATAAACAGTGTTTTCTTCTGAAGGGCACGCTACCTGTCCATTGAAGATCAGGTTATTATCTGATGAAACCCTCAAATACTAGTTCAATCTTGTTCTTCACCGCAGATTTTAGATATCTGTCTTTTTAAAGGGGGTAACCTTGTAAAAAGGGACGTGGTGGCGAGTAGCTGCAGAAGCCTCTGTGCTGCAAGGTCAGAAGACCAGCAGTCGTAAGATTGAATCCACGCGATGGAGTGAGCTCCCATTGCTTGTTCCAGGTCTTGCCAACCTAGCAGTTCAAAAGCATGCAAATGCGAGTAGCTAAATAGGTACCACCTCGGTGGGAAGGTAATGGCGTTCTGTGTCTAGTCACGCTGGCCATGTGACCACGGAAACTGTCTGCGGACAAACACTGGCTCTATGGCTTGGAAACAGGGATGAGCACCGTGCCCTAGAGTCGGACACGACTGGATTAAGTGTCAAGGGAAACCTTTACCTTTACTTAACCTTGTAAAGCTCATTAGCTTACATTTTTAATAATGTGTTCAGTGTGTCTGCAGACATTTTGAAAACATCCATCAATCCAGGGATGTTTTGTTTGAAAACTATTCAAGGCCAAGGGGTGTTGGTGATATCACAGCTGCTAGCCAATTAACACCCTCCACTAATGACTTTTCCCCTGTTCAAAGTGACAAAACTGGCAGAGCCAATTTTTCAGGACTCATCTTAGAAAAGGAGAACATACATATGCATTAAATGTAATAGATGGTCTATATTCACCTTCAGTTTTGCAGTAAATGACACTCTCCCTTTTCAGATCAGACCACAAAATCTCTCATTCAACCCTTAGGCTAGTTAGGGAAAGTGATGTGATCAATACCTTGATCTGGGCTGGAAGGGATTCTTTGAATGGATTGCCTGGCACAGAGAAAGGAGGCCAGTTTTGCATATCACTATCAGGCATGCTGAGTTACAATTTGATGAGTTTATGAAATTAATATGTTGTCTTTCTGGCAAGAACGAGACCCAGAACAATTAACTGGGAGACCTTTGTGTAGTTGTGATACCCCCTGTTTAGTACCCACAATGCATTCCCAAACATATGCTGCTTTTGGTCAACGATACAACAGCAGGTTGGCATTTACCATATCCTATTTGGCAGAAGTGGGCCCTTGGTTTCTGTACTCGGTGCCTGTGATGCAATGAGGATGTACATTGACACACACAAGGGCATGTTTTGTGGACTATGTGCACCACCTCATGGAGGAGAACTTTCAAGTTGTAAGAAAAACCATGCATGAAGACTGTCATCCCAACAGGCAAAGGACGCTATGGGGAAGTTTGGCGTGGTACATGGCATGGAGAGAACGTGGCTGTCAAGATCTTCTCTTCCCGGGATGAACAGTCTTGGTTCCGTGAGACAGAGATCTACAATACAGTGCTGCTGAGGCATGACAACATCTTAGGTGAGGGGAAACAGTGTTGGCTTTTCAGAAACATCAGTCTAGATACGTTGGGGCATGGATGATCCCAAGTGGAAAATGACTGCTTTAGACTATAGCTGGTGGTCATGCTGGCTGTGGGATTCTGCCCAAAATATGTCACAACCGGAATAGGCCCATTTGAATCAGTGGAACTGATGGAAGAGGCAACTCACCAAATCCCCACTGATTCAGTGGGCCTATTGTAGTCTGACTTACTACACTAAGCAACAGGATTTCAGCAATAGATAATAAAAGAAAAATACGTTTTTTAAAAATTTACAATCTTGCGGGGAAAAAATCCAGAGGGCATGTCACCTATATTAGATCTGTTCCAATTTTTAATTTTTAAAAAAATAGTTGCTGTGTGTCTATTTTCCTCCTGTTTTGTTGTCAATTGGAGCAATGTTGTCTGACTTCTGGTTTGGGAATAGCAAAGACTAGTGTGAAACAGGTCCTGTTTCATGTCAGTCTTTGGTATTATTTTGGATCCTGTTGAGGCCGTCTGGGAAAGGAAGTTCTCACAAGAGGTATCTGTTTCAGCATGTATAACAAAAACATAAGCGAAACAAAAGCGCTGTAGCCTCTAAAAGACAAGCAGATTTATTTCAGTGTGTGTATTCATTATTACAACCCGCTTCCTCAGACACAGGGAGTGCAACATTTAACCACAGGTTTATGTGTGTACCACGTGACCACGGAAACTGTCTACGGACCAAACGCTGGCTCTGTGGCTTGGAAACGGAGATGAGCACCGCCCCCTAGAGTCGGACACGGCTGGACTAAATGTCAAGGGGAACCTTTACCTTTACCTTATGTGTGTAGTGGACATGGTTGCATGAATGGGGCCAAATGAAACGGGATACAGGCCCACATAATGAACAGTAGGATTACTTGAAAGATAATAAACTCCCAAAGTGCTGATTATATAAACACTGGAGTGGAGTGATTAACTAATGTAAATTCTCTGCCAGATAAGCATACAAGTGTCTTTGAAGTACAAGTTTTCTTTGACGAAGTGTCTTATTATTTCTGAGGCAATTCCTGCTTCGAAGGTTAGAGCTTTGCCAAAGGAAATAATATTTGACTATATACAAGAGTTTAAGGAAAATATTAGTAATTGTGGGTCATCAAGTCAATTTTTTACTTAAGGTGAACTCTTGCTATGGTTTTCCAGGTAGAGAATACTCAGAAGTGTCTGACTATTCCCTTCTTCTGGGGTTGCCCTGGGCACTTTGCAGCTGGCCCCCAAGCCACACAAGCTGGTTCTTTTCCCAGGGGGCACAGTGGGGAATTGAACTCGGACACAGAGGGGAATTGAACTCCCAACCATGGAGTCCACAGCCGGAGACCTAAACCACTGAGCACTTTAGATTGTTAATATCTGTAGGGAGGGACAGAAGCCACCTGACTTCTATGTCTGATCAAATGTTGACCCACCCTATGACCTTTTGGAAACTGATCCAATCTGCCTTGGAACCTATGATAGTATAGGTGCATTTCTGGGTATTTGTAAGAGACTCTTCCTGCAAATGAGGGAATGCAAATGGCAAGGCCAGGCCATTGATTCAATGGTGCAGGCAAAATGGAAGGACTCTTCTTCAGAGCATCAGCAGAGCTGGGCTCTCTGTTATATTGTTCTTCTTTTTTCCCCACCTTTCAGGAGAAAGCCCCCAGGAGCTTCATAAAGCAGCTACTGGGAAGGGAATGAGTAGGAGACTTTTAAAACAGGCATGCTCATTTTTATAAAGTCATTCTTAAAAGGGCAATACAGGAAACCTAGCCTTCTCTAGCCTTTTTTTGTTCCTCTGTCCCTGCATTTCCTCTTCCTTGTATTTTAGCAGCCCAAAGCTTTCAGGATCAGTGACTTTGAATCAGGAAAGGCAAGGAAGGTTAATTTGTCAGGTAAAGAGCATATTCCCCTTTCTTTTTTTCCTGGGGTTCCCTCTCTTTTTCCCCCACTTCTAATCATCATGCTTAAACACGGAACTCTACGCAACATGTGTGCGTGTGGATGTGCTCTTCCACCCATTCATTTATTTGAGTTAGTGCAAGCACTATACAGTACCAGGTAGTTTACAATATTAAAAATTACAACCTGAACATACTAAATGTATAATCTCTGTGACATCGTATAATCCCTTTCTACAAGTACTGTAATTGGAAAGTGTTAAGTCAAATTCCGGTCTGAGAGAGCAGTCTAGAGAGGTCAGTGAGCAAAGTCCAGCTCTCTGTCCGCCTCCTCATTGCTCCACTCTGGCACTTTCCTCATATAGCACCATTGTGCATCATTTTGGAGACACATGGTCTGGCTTTCTTGCAGTGTCCAAACTGTTGTAGAGATCCCAAGTAATTCAGAGTTCATCCAAATCAGTTCTGGATTTGGCCTGATCAGTCACATAACCCTTGTATTTATAATAAGTTACGGTTGTTAGTTCTCATGAGAAGACTCCCTGGAAAAGACCAGTTACGGCTGCTAGTTCTCATGAGAAGAGAAGACTCCCTGGAAAAGACCCTGATGTTGGGAAAGTGTGAAGGCAAGAGGAGAAGGGGATGACAGAGGATGAGATGGTTGGACAGTGTCATCGAGGCAACCAACATGAATTTGACCCAACTCTGGGAGGCAGTGGAAGACAGGAGGGCCTGGCATGCTCTGGTCCATGGGGTCACAAAGAGTCAGACACGACTAAACGAATAAACGACGACGATGATGGTTGTTAGTTATGTCAAACCCATTTAATGCTTCTGGCTTCTTAGATCCACTTCATAGTGCCTTCAGAAATGAACAAATAACCCTGATTTGGTTCATTTTTACATACACGTCCCAAACAGTGCACAGGACAAACACATAGTAAGCCAAAAGCCTTGGTCTGTATTTGTGCCTGTCGATGCACTTTGGAATTTATGGATGTAACACATTTAATTTGTTCCCCCTCAATCTCCATTTGTAACTGGATTTCTCTGGAAAAAAAATCACCTCTGCCTGGATCCGTACAGAACCAGTTCTATCCAAGTTTCACAATACTAGTCTGGCTATAACAACAGTTGTTCCAGCTCTTTATATAGAACAAAAAAAAGTGGCAATGACACAGGAGATTACTTACCGACACAGGAAATTTCTGCAGTTTCCAGCAGTCAGTATGGGCGGCCATTTTGTATTTCTTTCTCTGGTCACCACAGACCACTGTGTGCAGCCTGCTCCTCTGAGCCCTTTGCAAATTTTTCTGCCTACAGGATTCATTGCTTCTGACATGACATCCAGGAACTCCAGCACCCAGCTGTGGCTGATCACCCACTACCATGAGCATGGCTCCCTCTATGACTACCTGCAGTGCACCTCACTGGATGTAGAAACTTGTTTGCAGTTGGCTGCCTCTGTCATCTGTGGGCTTGTTCACCTGCACGTGGAGATTTTTGGTACCCAGGGCAAGCCAGCCATTGCTCACCGTGACCTGAAAAGCAGGAACATCTTGGTGAAAAACAACAAACAATGCTGCATTGCTGATCTGGGTGAGTAGCTATCAGGTGCTTCAGAAACAAGGAAGATTTTTGAGGTATGAAATCTAAACAGGTTCCTTATTTCTGGCCCACAGGTCACCCAAGTCAGTATCAGAACTTAAAAATGAATAACAAATTTCTTAAAATACGTTCGTTATGTAACCAGTTTCATGGCTTCAATCAGCAACATGTTACCGTTACAACATTTCACTAGCCATTGGTTTACTTTCTTGCTCCTTAGAAAAAAGCAAATCAGGACTGAGTGGAGAATGGCATAAAACGAGAAAACGCTGGGTTACGATGCTCCTAAAAATGACCTTTAAAAAGTAACTAGAAATTTGGTGCTCCAAACCCCAATGACATGGTTCCCACTCATTACAGTATATCATTTCTGAAATGTGATGCTATTCCAGTCCTGTTATCTAACACACAAACCTCAAAAAACAAACAAACTTGTCACAAGTAAATAATGTTATTAAGTCAGCTATCCCAACAAGAGGATGGGGACATGAGTTGTTTGCTTCCTCTTGTACTCCTGATCCTGTTATGGTGGGGGGACAACACACCTGTGCCATCTTTTTTTTCTTGTAATTAATCACATAGTTATCACTAATTAGGTGAATGACATGGCAGCTCATTTGGCATTTGTGTTAAGGAAAGAGCAGATATTGTACACTACTTACTCTGTGTTTGGTTTAGGCAAGGTCTACAACCAGCCCAGGCCTCTTACACAAGGCAAAAATAACATTCAGGTCACAAATAAATCTCTCTAGGGATAGCAGGGGAAAGTTCCTGACATCCAATACAGATGTCAGTCGGATCTTGGAAATGCAATGCTAGCTAGGAATTGGAAAATAAATTATGATGCTCAGTTAAAGGAATGGCAATAAAAGGTTTGGAGCATAGTGACTGAGGATAAGTTAACATGCAATATCAAAGAAAATAAGGGATTGCTTATTAAGAATAGTTTTACAGATATGGGGGAGGGATTTATTGATTTTGTACATTCGCAAGAGTTGATACTATTTTGGAAGGGGAAGGGAGCTCCTTAAAGGGAGTTAAAATTGGTTACATCACCAAATGGTCCCCAAGGAGGGGCACGTTCTGTATCGTTGCCTTTCTGTTTTGTGTTATTAGGTTTTTTTTTTCCCTTTAGGTTTTGTAGGTTTATGTTTTTAAAAAAATTAAAAACCACAAGCGAAACCTACCTCCTTTGAAAGTTCACAACAATTTAGGATGGCTTTTCTCCCTCTAATTAATTTTGTGTCAGACAGAACATTTGAGCTGATCCAGTGCTTCCCAACCCCTTTCATTGTCCCACAGCAAGTGGATCTGCTCTCTCCTTCAACCCAAAGGCTCAACTAAGGGTAATGCCATTCACGTAATTAGCATTTTTAAAAAACATGGCAAGTGTACCCATCCTCTCACAACTGGATCAGCACTGCAAGAAGGATAACATTTGGGGACGCACCATTGCACTCAGGTGGAAAAGACAGAGGAAGCCCTTGAAAGAATGGTCCCCACTCCCTGTTGTCTTTTGCTACCACCCATGTTGATCTTCGTAGCCTTAGACAAAAGAAAATGGAAGGATAGAGCTGAGGCTGAACCGCACATGGAATCATGTGCCTGGGTATACATCCAAGCCCTTTCCGATCCTTCGGCCAAGTAATACCACCATCTTCCCCCCACCCCCGGCCAGGTTTGTAGCCTCAACTTCCTCAGTCACAGGAAGACAAGCCTTGTGGTACCAGAAAGGCCATAAATCCTTATGCCAAATAAAACTTGTTAATTCAGTTGGCAAAAAGCATTTAGGGACTGCAGCTCACTTTGTCCGATAGAGTAGGTGCACCTGGTGAAATAGGGGGTGCAGTACACCAAATCTGATGCCTAAATAAAACTTTTTAGTTTACCTTCTTTTTGCTGTAATAGACTAATGCCCTTACTAAACCCTTTGGAAAAGCCATGGTGTGAACAAATGTCAGGGCCATCCTCCTCCAGCAAGTAATTTGAGTAGCATATGCTGCTGAGTTTTGATTCCTATCAGTCCCAGCCAGTATGGCTTAAATCAGAGTTGATGTAAGAAGAGCATTTGAAAGATGACAGGTTCTTTTCCGCATCCTAAGGTTTTGGCTTTCTATATACACCTTGTTCTCTTCCTCCCTCCCTCTCCAGTAATTTACAACCTGTCCAAAATTTTCTCCTCTGGTCCAGGACAGCCCCAATGTCCACCTCATGGAAAAGCTCTAGCCTAAGGCCACATTGTTTGTCCCAGATCACATGTGCTTGGCCTCACTTTGAAGGCTGCACTCATTATTAGGGATCCACCTTAGTGATGTCTGTGGTCCCTGATGAGCCACTTTCTTCTAACCACCCGTTTTGTTCCTGATTCAGGCCTGGCCGTCATGCATTCCCAGCATAGTGACCTCTTGGACATTGGGAACAACCCACGGGTGGGCACCAAGCGCTACATGGCACCGGAGGTCTTAGATGAACAGATTCGCATGGACTGCTTTGAATCCTTCAAACGGACTGACATCTGGGCCTATGGCCTCGTCCTCTGGGAGATCGCCCGGAGAACAGTCGTAAACGGTAAGGGGGAGCAGCTGGGGGAAATGCACGTACCTTGGCAGGAAAGGATAGCTCTACAAAATCACAGCCAGAAGAGATCTCCCATGTCCAGAGATCATACATTTAGGTAGTCTCTCCACTCTGAATGTAATCAGGCATTTGTCTGTTGTTTGTTTCAATCACTGCAAGAATTTGTTTTGTTTGTTGATTGCTGACTAGAGATAGGCACGAATCTCATTTGTTTGTTGGTTTTTTGTTTCAATCACTGTATTCTGAGACTACCTGCAAGAATTTGTTTTGTTTGTTGACTGCTGACTAGAGATAGGCACGAATCTCATTTCGGAGGTTCATGCCAGTTTGCACTCACAGCACTACAGGTGCTATGTGTTCAATTCCTCCGCCTCCCCAGCTGGATCCCCCACTCACCAGTCAGTGCTCACTCCTCTCCTCCACCTCTTCGGCTGTTCAACCAGTCTTTGGCAGGAACATGGGCTTCCCTGCCCCCATCTTTGGCTGGCTGCCCACTCAGGTAAAGAAGCAGGACAGGTAAAGCCATGCTTCTGCCGAAGATTGGTCAAACAGCAAAGGCAGAAGAGAAGAGGAGCGCGCTCTGGCTGGTGAGTGGGGCATTGACCGGGAACACAGAGGAAGGGAACGTACAGCACCTGTGGTCACACACGTACAAACCGGCACAAATCTCCAAACTGAGGTTCATGCCCATCTTTACTTCTGACATCCTGGGCCAGAGGAGAAACCTGTGGCACTCCAGTTGTTGTTAACCCTTCAGTTCCCATCATATCTTGCCAGTTTACCTACTGGTGAGGGATGTGGGAGTTATAGTCTTAAAAGCTTCTGGAGGGCTACAGCTTGTTCTCCAGTGCCCTAGGTCACATCCCCCTCCATCGCCCAAGCTTTCTGTACGGATTTATTTCCATTAAGCAAGTTTGGGTCCCATTTCGGCCAGAAAAAATTCCCAGAGCAACATCCATTGTTCAAGAGCAAGCAAGAATATCCTTGTTTTATTGCATCTGCCTGAAAGTCCATCTGGTCCAGGAGTTCACTAGGGATGACAACAGGCAGAACAGGAGAGGACAACCACCCACTTATTTTATTTATTTATTTAATTTATATCCCGCCTATCTGGTCAATTATGACCACTAGCATGGTTCACCCCTTCTTTCTCAAAGGTATTTGGCCTGTGCATGTGGAGGGTCCCTTTGGCTGTAAAGGATATTAATTTCTAAACTCCATATCAAGAGTAGTACAGTCCAACCCCGGTGTCCACAGGGGATTGATTTTAAGCTCCCTCCCCATTGGTTGCTGAAAACTGGATAATAGCGAACACTATACATTTGTTGTGTAGTCGTTAAGTCGTGTCCGACTCTTTGTGACCCCACAGACCAGAGCATGCCAGGTCCTCCTGTCTTCTACTGCCTCCCGGAGTTGGGTCAAAGTCATGTTGGTAGCTTCCGTGACACTGTCCAACCATCTCATCCTCTGTCATCCCCTTCTCCTTTTTCCTTCCCACTTTCCTAACATTCCAGACTGGTGGGACAAACAAGAGGGCCTTAATGAAATATTTCAAATCCCAGGCAGGATCATGCAGGAAGCTGTGCCTCCTGTTTTTACATGTGTCATATTATAATCCTGATGATAATACGTGGCTTCCTCTCTTCCTTAAGACTGCCACTGTCTCAAGGCCTGCATAAATTCAAAAGGACAGGCTTCATAAAATTGTCATCTGTGTAGCTTTTCTTGTTGTTGTTGTTTAGTCATTAAGTTGTGTCCGACTCTTTGTGACCCCATGGACCAGAGCACACCAGGACCTCTTCTCCTCCACTGCCTCCCAGAGTTGTGCCAAATTCATGTTGTTCGCTTCTATGACACTGTCCAACCATCTCGTCCTCTATCGTCCCCTTCTCCTCTTGCCGTCACACTTTCCTAACATCAATGTCTTTTCCAATGAGTCTTCTCTTCTCATGAGATGGCCAAAGTATTGGAGCCTCAGCTTCAGGATCTGTCTTTCCAGGGAGCATTCAAGGTTGATTTCTTTTAGAATGGATAGGTTTGTTCTCCTTGCAGTCCAGGGGATTCTATACATAGCATGGTAAAATTTAAAAAATTCAGAAAAACTATTTTCATATGTATTTACCAGAACTGGCCACTGGGGGGGCTAACAACAGGAATACATAGCATGGTCTCTGGCTTTCTCTAGTAGCCAGTTCTGATAAATACTGTACATTTTGAATTACCTATTTTTAGGGTTTTAAAAAAATATTTTTAATATTTTCAAGCCACAGGTAAGTGAAAATGCAGATACTGATGCCACAGGTATAAGGGTCCTACTGTACTGTTTGAGCATCTCCAAAGTTGGCAAAAAAAAAATGCAAGATTTTGAGATCTGCCGAGCTTTCTGTCTAGCACGATGTTACAGAAATCAGGCAGGCCCGTTCTTCATCTTCCAGCTTTGCCACAGAGGCAGGCTGTTTACATAATCACCTGGGTGTCTGAGGGCTGCAAGAAAACGTGTCTGTCATGGTCTCCATCCCGTAGCAAGGTGGGACAGACTCTGTATTTCCCACTCCTTGCAGGAGTGACCTTTTGGCACAGCCATGGGAAGAGCAATATTTGCAGTCGCCAGCTAGAAAATAAAATCTGTACACCAAGTCTGGCCTGAGACATTTTGCTGCCTGAGGCAAAGAGCATGGCTATTCTATGCTGAAAAGGCGAGTGGCCCCGCAACTGGGAATAGGAGAGCATGCTCCCCGTGCCCTTAAGGGCAGAACTGCTGGATAGCACAGGGATTTAGGCCTCTGGCTGTGGGGCCAGAGGTTGGGAGTTCAGTTCTCCACTGGGCCTCCCTGACAGGGGCCGGACTCAATGATCCTGAGGGTCTCTTCCAGCCATGCAGCTCTAAGATGGGGATGATGAGGATGGGCTATGGGGCAGCCCATGTGCGACACAGCCCTCTCCTCCAACACCTTGCCACTGTTTTCCAGCATCTGCCACCCACGGCAGCCTTCTTGCTTTGCCGAATAGTAGGGACGGACCACCTGCATGTGCTGTAGCGAACAGCTGGGGTGTTACTGCAGATTCAAATGCAACGGAGACTGTCGGGGTGCTTTGACAGTCATACAAGAGACCCTGAATCGGTTGCCTTGAAGAAGTCTTGGACTCGGGCCTGAAGGGGCGGAGCTCCACTCCTCATTAGCCCCACCAGTGTGGCCAGCAGTGGTCAGGTATGGTGGGAACTGGGCTCCAGCAACATCTGGAGGGCCGCAGGTGTTTCACCCCTGTTTGGAAAGGGAGCCTGTCAAATCAAACACAGCAGCTGCAGAAGCCTGCTGTTTCAGATTCACAATAGCAGCTGCGTCCAGAGACTGAAGCGGGGCCTGGCCTACTCGGCCGCTCCTGCGCCCTTGCTTGGCTCCTGGCTCAGAAATAATCACTAAACAGGCCTGTTAATGTGAAGGTTTTTGACTGGTCTTGTAGGATGCTGTTTTCTTTGCACTTTTCCCCCCTTTTCCACACACATGATTAGCTGCAAATTATAAACACTGTAATCTAGTGTCAGCGCCCAGCTCACTGATTAAAGGGACCATTAGGCTCAATCAGCACTTTGTTTGTTCAGCTCTGATTAGGAAACAAGCAGCATCACAGCTCGGTCTGGCATCAAGCCACAGCGGAGGAACTCCTGGTTGCTTCCTCCTCCTCCGGCCCATCCAGCAAGGGAAGAGCAGCAAAGCCGCCCCCGGGGGCTCGTCGTTAAAATGTCCAGGCCTCCATATGGCTGCTTCTTGCTTTTATGTTTCTGTAGTGGCCTTTGCTTATTATTCATTTAGGGAAGAGCCCTGAGAATTAAGACCCCTACCAGGTAGTGTGTTAATGTATCGTGCAAGTCTGCAATTTGGGGTTCGCTGCAAGCTAAGCAGATCTGATGCTCTACAGGATGGGGAATTAGCACTCGGGCAGAGACAACCTTCGGGCAAAACAGTGAAGAGTTCCATGTGCATCCTATGTTTCTCAGGATTAGGAACAACCAACAGACTTGTGCCACCTAAAAGCTTCACAAGTTTTATTTGCCCATTGTGAACAGCAAGCAGGCTGCTGTTCGTGAACCAAGTAAAACCTGTGAAGCTTTGAGATGCCACAGAGAGTTTTGTTCATATTGCAGCAGGCAAGAGACTAACATGGTGCGCAAACACACACACACACACACAAACACACACACACACACACACACACACACAATGTACGCATGCACAAATGTATTTGGGGATGAAAAGTGTCTTATCTACTTCATTATCTACTTCATTCTTGCAAGACCTTATGGCATGCATGCTAAATGAGAGCCAGTGTTGTGTCATGGTTAGATACCATAAAATTCAGCTTCCGCTGTTTGGTGTCTTCTCCTCCAGTTCTCCCAAGGTAATTCCAGACAGAAGAGAGCTTCTATCTCTAATCATCAGAAGACAGTGAACCTATTCTGTATTTCTATCCTCACAGATTTTCATGGGCAGGAAGAAAGCTAGATCCAGCAATGTTTGGGTTAAAATACCTACCTGGCAATGAAACTCCCAGAATTATCTTGGACAAACCTGTCTCTTTCAACCTGTCCCATCCTCTAGATTCTTTGTGTGGACAAAGCAAGAGGAAATTCAGAGCTCAGGAGAGAACAGTAGGATAAAATGTCACACATCATAATTCCACTCTTACAGGAGAAGCTGCCAATTCAGAATGTGGGCAGCTAATCTCTGTCTGTACCCCATGGTTGCAAAAGAAGTGGTGGATACAACATTCACTATCTTGTGATTTTTAATTCTCAGGAAGACCAAGATCCTAACAAAATGTGTTGGAAAGGATTTTTATGTGTATACATCAGTTAGTAGGCAGGCAACAGCTGAAGAACACTTACACTTCAGTCGAACATACCACCATGCCTTCTGGTTCTGAGTCCAGCAATGCATTTTTCCTATCTGCAGTAAAACTGACTGTGCATGGCTTTGATTGGCTGAATACCA